TAAACTTTCATATTTTTCTTTCTTTTGATAGAAGAATCCAGTTCATCTATTTAAATTCTACTTAAAGGTGACAACATTATCCTGCAGTTCCTGAATATAAATAGTAAAGTTAGATAAAAATATGAATTGCCATGTTTCCTAGTCTACATATACAAATTAGAATTGAACTATTTTTTTATTGCAAAAACATCTTCCTAATCAAAATTGAAATTTCTAACAATTTTTTCTCAAGTCACACTCTAGGCCGAAAGTCTCAATTGTGACTTCCACCATGACTGCAATCCTTGTATACCAACCCAATTCATACTACAACACTTGAGTAATTAAAAAACAAACAAAAATTAACTTTAGTTTAAATATATACAAAATCTTATTGGATCCTTCAATTAAATTAAGGGATAATTTCAGAAACCTCCCCTGAGGTTTCTGACAATTTCACTGACCTCCCCTGAGGTTTCCACAATTACACTGACCTCCCCTGGCAGAACTTGGGACCCAATTGCTGACATCATATAATGCAAAATTACTATTATACCCAAGACATTTTGTGTTATTATAGGACTAAAATATGATAAGGCAGATGGTGTTTTGGATAGTATTGGATTGCATTTCTATTTATTTAATGTATGGTTATGAAATTTGTAATGATATTACTCTTGGATTGCAGTTTTGGTTTGCACCTTATTACTGTTAAGGTTTTATAAATGACTGTTTTAGTTCTTGGATTACACCTTACCTCCAAAATTTGGGAATTTACCCAAATTTTCCATTTTCTAATATTCCTACAAATATGCAAAATTATGCATATCCCTCAAATCTACCCAATATTAATGTTTTGTTAAACTCTAAATAACAAAAATATGAAATATAATATTTAAATATATTTTAATACACACAAGTTGGACGGGTAACTAGTGTGTCAGAGAGTTGCCATAATCTCCTTAAACCCGCATGCGGGTTTAAAGAGTATTCGGATATTCTCATATGCACCTATGCAAATCGAACCAACCGGATATCTTATCCGTATCCCATTTTTTTAAATAAAAATCTTATAAATTTGAAAAATAAAATCAAATTTAGATGTATTAGGGTTTTAAAAATATTATATAAGTGATAAAAATTTTATAAATTGTAAAAATAAAATCAAACTGCTTGGATAATTAAATGTTATATTTGCATAAGAAATAATACAATAATCATAATAATGATAATACAATAATATTGGTGTAATAAAACTGCCATTAATTTAAATATTTACTTATAATGCCCAAAGAGCCTAATTACCAATTTTTTCTTCTCGCGCTCAAATATAACATTAACCCGCATGCGAGCTAACCTTGAAATAGAAAAAACACAGAATCCTGCTTGCGGGTTTCAACGTTATTATGCAGGCGGGATTTTAACCTGCTTGCTTGTGAACATGTACCACATTGTTTTGAATTTTTGTGACAAGAGGAAAGCTTTGTCTGATGAATGTATTTGTGAAATGACCTGAGTGGTGGTAGATGAGTTAATTAGGTCGGTTGCGTTACCCAATTGTTTATATCCATAAGTAAAATTTTATGATTCCCATACCCATCCCCTCACTTTTTCTTATTTATTTCTGATTTTTATTAGTTTTCATTAATTCACTAATATAACTTGTACACCTACCTTAAGGGCATTTATGGGAACAAAATTTCCTCTCTTTCTTGAAAACACTTTTTTATGTTTACTTTTGTGGTCATGGCTGATTTTGTTACAAAATCAGAAACCTCAAGGGAGGTTAGTGTAATTGCGGAAACCTCAGGGGAGGTCAGTGAAATTGTCAGAAACCTCAGGGGAGGTTTTTGAAATTATCCCTAAATTTAATAGGCCATAAAGTAATTGCAAAAAGAAAGAAATGGAGAAAAACGGAGGTACAAGAATGCCTAACTAGATTTATCTTGGTGAAAACATCACATGATATATCTTTCTTCTAAACAAATACACAAAATTGTAGATAATTACAAAATGTAACCAAAAAACAAAGAAAAGGAAACAAAATGTGAAGTAAGAAATCAAATCATAGGAGAAGAAAATAAAAGAATGAATTTTTGTTCTATTATTCATAGAAAATGATCATTGGTATAAAATGAATTCTAAATTTTTTTTTGGGAAAATCGTCCAAAAAATCCCTCACATTTTATAAAATGACTTTTTTCGTCCCTCACTTTTAAAAGTGTAATTTTATGTCCCTTACATATTCACATCGGTCAAATTTAGTCCCTAACTAGGTTTCCGATCATTTTTTTGCCGGAATTCATCACGTGCCTTGCACGTGATCATTTTTAAAGGGTAAACTTGTCAAATTATATTTTATATAATCTGATCTATAATCCTCCACATTTTATAAAATAAATTTTTTCTTCACTCACATTTTATAAAATGATTTTTTTATCCCTCACATTTCACAAAATGAATTTCTCCATCCCTCACATTTCAAAAAATGAATATTTCCATCCCTCACTAATTATGTATGTGAGGGAAACCCTAAAAAAAAATGTGTGTGAATACAATTTGTTTAAACACAAGTATATGTCTATTTGATTTTGCTTAATAATACGAACAGCATAAATATATGTATGTGTTTATTTGATTTCATTTAACAATACGAATATCATATATTATACGTGATCATTTGATTTCATTTTGTATTAGCTAGTAAATAACCTTGCATTCATTATCAAGTTAGCCAATAAATCTATTTTAGGTCAAAATGCAATAAGAATATGCAAATTAAGGTTCTATTGGTAAATATTAGTCATAATCATACAAAAAGAGAAGATAGCCCACAAGTTGGGCTCAATTACATACATGTGTTTATACTATTATTATTAAACAAAATCAATTAATGTGTTTAAAAAAATGTATTCACACACATAATTAGTGAGAAATGAAAAATTCATTTTTTGAAATGTGAGGGATGGAGAAATTCATTTTGTGAAATGTAAGAGATGAAAAAAATCATTTTATAAAATGTGAGGGACGAAAAAATTTATTTTATAAAATGTGGAGGACTATAGATGAGATTATGTAAAATATAATTTGACAAATTTATCCTTAAAAATGATCATGTGCCTTGCACATGATGAATTTCGGCCAAAAATGATCGGAAACCTAGTTAGGGACTAAATTTGTCCGATGTGAATATGTAAGAGATATAAAATTACACTTTTAAAAGTGAGGGACGAAAAAAGTTATTTTACAAAATGTGAGGGACGTTTTGGACGATTTTCCCTTTTTTTTTACATATTTTAAAATTTCACCTTTTATCCATGAAGAATTACCAAATAAAACATCATCCTATAAATTTAACAAACAAATGTTAGTTGGCTATAACATTATGATAAAAAAATAGAGCAAACATGCGAGATTAGAGATGAAGAAAAAAGGAAGAAAAGAAAATGTAAAATGGGATAAAAAATAATAAAGAATTCTTTTTGCTAAGTAGTTATCATCTTAACAAAAAAAAAAAAAAGAACATGGCAACAATCTTAGTTAGATTAGTTTTAAAAAAATAAAAAATAAAAAAGGTGAGGGATGACAGTAGTTACTACAAGAAGAAAAAGAAGAGATGGAGTTGATTTTTTCAAGGAGAAAAAATATTTTAATTCTTTAGCCCAATTGAATCAAAAAAGAGAAGGAAAAATTCTGGTAAAATAATCAAAGGTCCACTTGTCAAAAAAATATACAATACATGTGTCAAAAAAATGGTTAGCTACAGTAACTTGGCTTTTTTTTATATACAAGGTAGACTAGAGGTACCTCGGCTGTGCAAGGCACAGCCTAGGCCCCCTAATAACTTAATTGAACATATAACAGCAAAACTTTTTGGTACATAATAGACAAAAACACGAGAAAAATTGAGCATCAGAAGAAATTTCATCTATGAAACTAACTCTTCTAAATCAAGGAGACAATAAACATGACATCTATTAAATCCATCACTAATTTTGAGATAAATGAACAAGTGCATAGTTGAATACAATTGGGAAGGAAGAAATCTGATTTTTTCTATGCAACATTGAGAAACGATTTATAAAGAAATAGAAAAAGAGACTTTAATCGATTACATAAAAGAGTTGTTTAAATGTAATAGTTGGTTAGCTACTAATCAAACATAATTAATCAATATCCAAGGATTAAAATTTTTTTCATTAATCTATAAAGCTTGATCCTATAGTCATAAATTAGACAATATATAAAAATAGTAGAAGTTCTTGTAGTTATGCAACATGACTTGCAATTAAAATCTTTTGTCTTATCCTGTATAGTACATCTTTTGTCTTGCTCCATCAAGATAGAAATAGGGAAATAAAAAATGAGAAAAATCATGGATTCCTCAAAGGAGAGTTACATCACATGTCAATAAATGAGAGTACTACATTAAATTCCCATGTCTCTTATATAATAGGTAGACAATAAGAATGAATGAAAATTGATCCAAGGGTTGTAATGTAATGTTATTGTATTAAAACTAATCTAACAGTGATGAATTAAACAGTGGACTCACTTAGTCAAATAATTAAGGTTAAAAAAATTCGTTGGGCTGAAAAGGAGAATAAAAGAGCCAAACTTGCTCAGTTTGGCATGAAAAAAAAAAGAAAAAGAAAAAGGGGATATGCAAGAGGCAAAAAAATCATGTGCAAAAAAAATATTAGACTTATGCCACTTGTCAAATTATTGGAAAATCAAGTGGCAATAAGGGAGGCAAAGAACTAAACCCCCTTTCTTTCTTATATACAAGGTAGATAGGATGTTTTATCCCCATATCTCAACTTCCGATTATATCATTCGTGTCTGGTTCCCATTGGCTGTGCGCTTTCTTTCTGACCCATTGACAGACTTTTCTACGCACGTAACTAGCTGGTTAGCATACGCATCTATGAAATTTTCGCTATTTAAGCCCGAAATTTTGCACAATTAATCATTAACAGACACCTTCTTTAGCAGTCGCAATTCGATTGTCCTGTATATGAATGGAGCTCCAAGAAGTCCTGCATATGAATGGAGGCGAAAGCGATACAAGCTACGCCAAGAATTCATCGTACAATGTCTGTCTGTCTCTCCGTCTCTCTCTTTAACACACACACACACACACAGAGTAGTAGTAAATCATGCTATGATACGTTGATCTCTGACTTAGTATGTCTTTTTTCCCACCTTAATATTTGTATTTTGGAGTGGTTATGTGTAGCAGCTGGTTCTCACCAAGGTGAAACCTGTCCTTGAACAATGCATACGAGAATTGTTGCGGGCCAACTTGCCCAACATCAACAAGTGCATTAAAGTTGCGGATTTGGGATGCGCTTCTGGACCAAACACACTTTTAACAGTTCGGGACATTGTGCAAAGTATTGACAAAGTTGGCCAGGAAGAGAAGAATGAATTAGAACATCCCACCATTCAAATTTTTCTGAATGATCTTTTCCAAAATGATTTCAATTCAGTTTTCAAGTTGCTGCCAAGCTTCTACCGCAAACTCGAGAAAGAAAATGGACGCAAAATAGGATCGTGCCTAATAAGCGCAATGCCTGGCTCTTTCTACGGCAGACTCTTCCCCGAGGAGTCCATGCATTTTTTGCACTCTTGTTACAGTGTTCATTGGTTATCTCAGGTCTTTGAGTTAATCCCTTTTATCTTTTTACTTTTTCTTGTAGCAAAAATAGTTCATGATTTTCATTCAACACATTAGTAACTATGCATGGAAATTTCTTTAATAATTCTAAAGATATCCACAGGAATCCAAGAAAGAGATTTCTGAAGAAACTAATAACATGTTTTATTTAAGTCGTGGCTCATGATTTATATTCCCACATGCAACACTAACAAAATGATCCAACTATATAAGTTACCAGTTCTAGACGTGCAGGTTCCCAGCGGATTGGTGACTGAACTGGGGATCAGTGCGAACAAAGGGATCATTTACTCTTCCAAAGCAAGTCCTCCGCCCGTCCAGAAGGCATATTTGGACCAATTTACAAAAGATTTTACCACATTTCTGAGGATTCATTCGGAAGAGTTGCTTTCACGTGGCCGAATGCTCCTTACTTGCATTTGTAAAGGAGATGAATCCGATGGCCTGAATACCATAGACTTACTTGAGAGAGCAATAAACGACTTGGTTGTTGAGGTTATCATTTCTCTGTCTCTTTGATGATCAGATGCTCATTGCTTGTTATCTGAAATAAACTAGATAGCTAGCTAGCTTATTCAGGGTTCCTACCTTAGCTGAAAAATGGATGCAATTTTATTCTTTGTATCCTTGATAGAATAAACTTTGTGTAGACGAAGTTCACCGTAACTCAGATGGCAGTAACCTTTAATTAGGAGTTAGGTCACACAACTCCAATACATTTAATATAATTCTTTCCTTTCCAATAATTTGCTGGAAGTTAGAAATATAGGGGAATTAAATCTGTTGGCTATCATTTTTTCCCTTTTTTGGTTAAATAGTTCATTATTTAATCTTTTTTTGGCAAATTTTTTATATGAACTTGAAGCACAAGTAATAATAATATATTCATATTGAAATTAAGGAAAAAAAACGTTTTTTTTCTAGAGTTGACTTTTTAGCAACTTGGCTAATTTCCAAGTCTTGTGCTTCAAATAATTTGAATTGAATTGATGATTGGCATATCTTGAGGGACTTCTGGAGGAAGAAAAATTGGATAGTTTCAATCTTCCACTCTATACACCTTCACTAGAAGTAGTAAAGTGCATAGTTGAGGAGGAAGGTTCTTTTGAAATTTTATACCTGGAGACTTTTAAGGTCCGTTATGATGCTGGCTTCTCTATTGATGATGATTACCAAGTAAGATCCCTTTTCCAAGTATACTGCGATGAACATGTTAAAGCAGCGTATGTGACATTCTTCTTTAGAGCAGTTTTCGAACCCATCCTCGCAAGTCATTTTGGAGAAGCTATTATGCCTGACTTATTCCACAGGTTTGCGAAGAATGCAGCAAAGGCTCTCCGCTTGGGCAACGGCTTCTATAATAGTCTTATCATTTCTCTTGCCAAAAAACCAGAGAAGTCAGACATGTAAAAGTTTGTTTTTAGTTGGCTTCTCTGTTGTGGTTTTTTTCCAGTACGTATTGTATTTTTTATATTAGTTGGTGTATAATTATGTTACATTGTTGTATTTGTAATAAAAGTGGTGTGCAAGAATAAAATACTTAAAATATATTTAGTACAATATTTTCATATATTTGTACACAAAAAAATTGAACATGCACAACAACTGGATAGAATACAACTGCACTAAATCCTTGTCCGATATCATGTGCATGACTGTATGGGAAGTCTTGGAATGATGATTTTTTGAGTAAATTACCTATTACCCCTTGTAGTTTGGTGATTTATCACATAACTCCTATGATTTAAAAAAATTATATGTAATCTCTCATGATTTGAATTAAAGTATTATCGTTAGTTTTTCTGTTAAAATGAATAGTCAATAGTAAAAAGTCAAAATCAAATTAATAAATTGATAAATTCACATTTTCACTATTTTTTTTCTCTCTCTCTTGTGAAATCAATTTAGAAATATATACAGCTTTGTTATTTATTTATTTTTCATTGAAACCACGAGAAAACCATGAGACATAGAAATTGAAAGAAAAGCATTCAGCTTTTAAAGCATTAAATTGAGGATTTCAACGTCGATAGAGTTGAGATGATATGGACTTGAAAATTTAAGTACCAAAATAATTTTGCCATATTAAAAAATTGAAATGCAAGATGATGTTGGAAAGTATGTCTTTTTTTCTTTTTAACGTGTGCAACATGTTCGAAATGTGGTACATTTTGTTTGGTTAATAAATTTAACTAAAAATAAGAACCAATATGCTGACATAAACTAAAAAGAACAACATATAAAAACTTAACAAGTGGTAACATAAATAAACATTATACATACACACACAGACATATATATATATATAAGCATTATACACACACATATATAGAGTAAATCTTATATATATCGATGGTGTATACATTAGCATAATTAGATATATGACATATATGTAAAATTTGAGTTTCAAATTCAAATTCGAATAATGTGTCATGCATCTAATAGTGAAAGCGTATATACTATCAATATATAACAGATTAATTCATATAATATATATATATATAAATTTTTTTTCTTTTACCCACCGAGCTTCTACAAATACGCAAGGGTACCTCAAATACTAGTAGTCTTCTCCCCATATCGGCTAATTTCTTAGATTATAGGGAAAAAAAAAAACAATCCGCCAAATGTACATCTGACAGGTTCGTTTTCTGAAACTAAAGCGGCCGTACTGACTCAGCACGGCCGCATGGTTTTTTTTTTTTAAAAAAAAGCAATCAGTGGGTCAAAAAGACTTTGGTCAGGCGCCTGACAGTCAAATGTCAGGCACCTGACTCCTTTTGACTGTCAGGCGCCTGACGTTTTTTTTTTTTCAATAAGCTGTCAGCAGCCGTGCCCAGTCAGCACGGCTGCTGACAGTTTTTGAAAAAAAGAAAGCGTCAGGCACCTGACGCCTGACATCTTTTTGGCGTATATATAATTTATATTATATTATATATAATTTATATAGTATATAATATTTATATAAATATATTATAAATGTATAAAAAAAATTTTTATAATAGGTATAAATAATTATATTAGATATAATACATAATATAAATGTATATTATAAATATACATTAATATATATTTTTTGTATAAATGTAGAATATATAATATATAATAATATAATTTATATAATTTATATAGTATATAATATTTATATAAATATATTACAAATATATAAAAGTATTTTGTAAATAAAATAAAATATTTATAATATGTATAAATAAATATATAAATATATAATATATAAATATTTAATATACATAATATACATTAATAATAATTATAAATATATAATATTATAAATATATAATATATACAATATACATTAATATTAATTATAAATATTCTAATATTATAAATATGGTGTTTTTATAATATTTCAATTAATAATATTTATTGTATATTTCATTATATAAATATTTATATAATTTATAACTTATAAATATATTTCATTATATTAATTCCTGCTTATTAGAATACATGAATCTTTCTTTAATTAACAACTATTATGCATTTGATAATGATTTAATAATAATACAAAATTTAAGTAAAAAATCATGTTCTATTTACAATACAAAGGCATCTAGGGACATGAATAATGAGGTTAGGTGAATGTATTTATTTTAAAAATTAATAAATTGAAGTATATTTAGGATTATGGTTAAAATTTAGTTTAATCAGGTTATTTTGAAAATTAAATTAATGAAATTTATTTAGGATGACTGTGAAATTCTAGTTTACTAAAATTATTATAAAAACTATATAAGCGACTATTTTGGCGGAGATTATACATAAATGAATAAAATAGAGTTAGAATACCATTTAAATTTTGTTCATGGACTCACGCCAGGACCCTACCACTGTTCCCAGTGGATGCCAATTTCTTTATTTCACAAGCATTCAAGGATTCCGGAATGACATCTGTTAGAGTTTAGTCAAATTTTGGATGTGAATAATGATGTTCTTCCAATGCTCCGCCAAGTCAACTATGGAGTCTATAGCTGCCCCTATGATCCTTGTCCAGATTGCAGAAGGAAGAAATAATTATTAAATATGGTCGTGAAGTTTCCTCCTTTGTGGTACAGTTTCGCTTTATGAACGCAGAAATGGAGACAGTCTGTTTCTCTGGCGCGGACGTGCCCAGTCAGCACGTCCGCGCCTGACATTTGCGCAGACCAACGGTCTGTTTGCTCAGGTGCGGACGTGCCCAGTCAGCACGTCCGCACCTGACAGATGCGCACTGAATTTGTTGAACTTTGCAGACGGCTGACAATGCGCAACTGAATTTTTTATTTTGCGGCCGTGCTGATTCAGTACGGCCGCTATAGAACAAGACAACACCAATGTCAGACGTGCATTTGACGAATTGTTTATTTTTTTACATATAATCTAAGAAATTAGCCCCCCATATCTGACCTTTACTAGCTTATGATCTTGTCGCCACGTCTCAACTTCTGATTTTATCATCCGTGAATAACTTTCATAAAGTGGCCACTTGTCTTCAAATACATTTGGCTTTTCCTTAGTACGTGGCATACCCAATTGTCATTTATTCATTCGCTAAGTGTCACTTTATCTTTTTTGAAGGAAGTGTTACTTTATCTTGAAAGGCATTCAAACTTTTGTTAGTATCTCGCAAGCTCAATTCTCAGTCATTCCATCTCTAAGTTCCAACATATAAAAAAGAGGCAGAACACAATAAATAAATGACTTGTGAATATTTTCATGGTTCAGATTTTAAAAAAAGCATACCAATATATTATTATTCTAAACAAAAACAAATAGAGAAAAAAAAAGTGAAAACAATGAGATAATTCTCATAGAAAAATTCGCACCACAGAAAATGCAAATGGTAAAGGAAAGTCACAGTCATAAATAATGGTAAGAGCCAGACTGCAGACAAAAGGGTACATGAGCAATGTTTTAAAAGGCAAACTTTAATTGAACCGATAAAGTGTTCGGATCAAAGTTCAACCGGTCGGACCGGTTGAATCCTGATTCAATAAATTTTTTAAAAAATAATTTATATAAGTATATATATATGCACAAAATAAGACATGCAATAGACTAATTTAAAACTTTATATGATGAAAAGTTTAATATTTTCAAATAACTTGGATTTTCAAAAATAAACTTTTTAAATTATAAGTTGAAACAAATAAATTTTATGAGTTTTTTATTTTAGAAAATAAATACAGAAAAAGGACCAAAAATGGGACTTAAAATATTCGATGGTTTGAGCCCAAAATAACAGTGTTTTAAAAATCGGACCGGACTGGCCGGTTGAACCGCGAACCGGCCATGATACCGGTCCGGTTGTATACCAAAGCCGGAAACTTCAATTAAACCGTTCAAAACCGTTAAACCGCTAAACCTGGTTTTTTTTTCTGCACAATGTCTTTTTTCTTTTTTTTTGAAAGCTTTAGAAAAGTGGAGATATTTTTTGTTGCTGGTCAAGTTCGATCTTGGGACTTCATGTGAGGAGGCAAAAGGTTTCACCACTACACCAAGCATCCCTTTTTGCTTTTTCAGTGCATAAAATTATATTTGTATATTTTTTATGCTAATTAACTTCCATGCCCTACACCTCAGACATTCACCCTAAGCTTAAGATATAAAAGTAACTTTTCAGCCGCCAAACTTCACCCTACGCTTCATCTCTTTGCATCACCATCTTTAGTCTTTATGCTCCCAATTTCATTTTTTTTCTCATCTAATCACAAGTATTTATGGCTTATGAATTTATTTCCTTTACAAACTCTTATTCTCTTTCCATTCGTCTTTCTAATATGGACTGTCCTCTCTTCTTTTTTCTACTTCCAACCCTTTCTAAATCTCCATCTATTTAGTTCGATCTCTTGAAGTTTTTCCATATCTTTAGTTCAGTCATTTAAAGTTTTCTTTTCTTTATATTCTGTATGTGACGATTTTTCTTTTCTTTTCTTTTTTTGAAATTTTCGCTTCTTTTTTTCTTGGTATATTGTGTTGTTCTATTTTTTGTTAGTTTGAAATTTCTTTTTTTCAATTGCAATTTTTTAGGTTTTTCTTTTCTTTTTTTGTATGATTGAAAGAAACTACATTCATCAAGTTTTAGAAAATTTATGTTTTTGACTTTTCAAGTTATGAAAAATTTTGTTCTTGGGTACATAGTTTTTTAATTTTTAAATTTTTGGAAAAGGAATACTTCAAGTTCTTTGGATGGGGACGAGATCCTCTGTCCAATATTTTGTATCCACTTTCCTGTCCAGTGTAAAACGACGTAGTTTAACTTATTATATCTGCTGATGTGACACATAAAAATAGGTGGCTGTTTGGTTACCTTATGTTTCCAAACTATGTATCTAATGTCAAAAAAATGTTTAATGAATTTTCTCCAATCCTAGATTTGATAGATTATAGTGGCTAGTATCTCATGCATG